GCGGCCGTCCCAGGGTCCACCAAGGCCTTGAGGCCCTCGTCCTTTTTTCCAGGGCCAGGGATAGGTCAGACGGAACCTGGGTGCACATAGGCATACGCTCACGTCTCTCCTTATGATCCCCTTTGGAGAGGCATCTAGATTCAGGGCGGAATCTAGCGATCCAGCGGCTTTCGTGCGCCATGGGGTAGGGCCTGGCTTAGGTTGAGTCGTGCTGGGGAGGCACGCTCTTACCCGTCATTGACTCACCCACCCTGCTACATGTTGTTGTCTAGGGAGGAGAATGTGGGAAGCCTGTCACTTTTAAACGCGGTCATAGGCCATGCGAGCGGGCCATGCGTATGCCTGGGGGTCGTTTTGCCCGTTCTGGACCGCTGCCAGAGCAGCATGGGCAACCATGCGGACCTGACATCGGGCCACCGCAAGGCGTCCATTAATAAACGATGTGACCCATCTGAGCAAGAATGGTCCTATAAGTAAAAGCAGAAGCAGGGAGCAGATAGCACTCCCAGTGTAGAGGGCAGCCCTTTTTTGGCTCATCTTGACTTTACGTCTACGGCTGGTCCCTGGTGGGGCAAGTCTGGTCTTCGGCCGATGGACTTGTCGCACGTGTCAGTCTCTCTGGGACCCACAGTGGTTCTCGTCCCGGTTCCTGCGGAAAAACACAAACCGCACCTCGGTTCCAGCTGATTACCGGATCCGGGCCCATCCATTGTCCTGTTAGGACATCTTTCCATTTCACCCATCCCTTATTGCTAGGAGATGGACTAGAATGCTCCATAGCTGGTGAGTGGTTATTATTGTTTAAAAAATTGTATGTGAACAGTGCCATAGATAACCGTGCCTTTGGAGGCAGGCCTTGGCTTACTCCCCCTCTTTGTTTATATAAAACTTCTTTGAGGCTTTTGTGAGCTCTCTCAATAATTCCTTGACCTTGAGGATTGTATGGGATACCATGCTTTAATTGTCTGCCATTGATCTTAAGCAAAAGCATGGGCCTCTTGTCAAGAGTCATGTGGAGTACTGGAACCTCTTATGAAGGCTGGGGAGCAGCAAGAGCTGTGCTATCCTGTCCCCCTCATTAATTACCATAGTACCTACAAGAGTTTGAACCATAATCTTAATATTTCCTGTATAATCTGAGTCTATGACCCCAGGGATCACGGTGAGACCCCGAAGGGCCGTGGAGGACCTTCCGATTACTAGGCCAACTGTATTTTCAGGCAGCGGTCCCTTGAAGGTGGTTTCGACCACCTGAACACCCATGTCGGGCGCTAATATGAGTCTGGAGGCGACACAGAGGTCCACGCCTGCTGACCCAGGGGTAGCCCTTGTGGAAGGCTGCCACCCTGTGTTGTTCTGTCTCGGGGGTGGGGGCCCGCCGGCGAGGAGGGCCCCCTCTGGCCGTTTTTTGGCTCGTTAACATCTCGGCCACAAATACGATTTCCTTGAGCATCATAGACTGATCTGCAATCCTCTGCCTTATGTGGGCCCTTTCTGCATCTCCCGCAGACGCCATACGATCCCTCGTTTTTGGGGCGAGGCCTGGCGCTTGTGTTATTCGGGCAGTCGCGTTTGATATGCCCTGGGTCCCCACAGCTGAAGCACCCCTTGGCCTTGCGCTCTTTCCTCGGCCCTCGAGGGCCCTTTTGTTGTACTGCCGCGGCTAGGAGGGCCGCAACTCCTGAATGGGAAAGTGGCCCCCCTATTTCTCTGCATATTCTGATCCAGGCGTTAAGGTCCTTATTCTTATGTGGGGCTATTGCTGCTTTACATTCTTTTGTACACTGTTCAAAAATTAACTGCCTGATGAGCGGATGAGCCACATCCTGGTCGGAAAATATTTTATCGGCAGCATCCTGCATCCTGGCCACAAAGTCAACGAATGGCTCCGTGGTGCCTTGAACTATTTTTGAAAGACATAGGGAGGCTGTTCCAGCACCACTTACCTGCTTCCAGGCGCGAAGCCCTATGGCATTAATTTGTTCATAAACAGCGCCGGGGAACTGGGTCTGATCATCTGCATGTTGGCCTTCTCCCATAAGCATATCCTTATTCCATCCCCTGTTTCCTCGACTGGCATTTCTCTCAGCCTGTTCGGCGGAGAACTCCGCGTACCAGGCTCGCCAGTCTAGGTAACTACCCGAGGGCAGGCAGGCTTTTGCCAACTGGACCCAATCCGCGGGGGTAAGGGGCCCGGAAGACAGGTTCTCCAGCATGGCAATGGTATAAGGTGCGGTGGGTCCGAAGCTTGTAACAGCACTCTTAAGTTCTCTGATCTGTTTTATTTCAAAGGGTTCCCACACATTACGTCCCTGGCCTAGGGCCATTTGTACAGGATATATCCCATAGGGGCCGCTATCTATCCCTGGGAATGGGTGGTCTTCATTAGACACACGACCCCCACGCCACAGCTGTCTGTGGAAATAATGTCCCGCCGGCGGCGGAGCATCATAAGATGGCGGCCGCGGTTGGGTAGAAAATGGCGGCCTAGGCATTACTTCCTGTACTGGCTGAAGAGGGGGGAAGTCCCAGGCGGCGGCCTCGCAGCGAGGGACCGCTTCCGGGAACGAGTTCCAGGGCGGAGCATAAGGTTCTGTCTCCCTCCCCTGCCAGGGGGCGCTCAGAAGCTCTCTGCTTTTTCGTAAGCCTAGTTGAGCGGAGCGCAGTTCTCGGCGCAACGCAGCGAAAGAGCCGTGTGCCTCCCTATCACTTGGCTTAGCCTCCCGGCAGTCGGCCCTTCTGGCCTCCCCGTCATTCAAGTCTCCCTCTTCCTCGGAGTCTGACGACTCCGAGGCTTGAGCCCTGTCTTCCTCTTCTGTACCTTTGTCCTCCTTGACGGACCCCTCTCGGGAGCTCCTTGACTGTCTTGAGAGCTCCCCCGTAACTACCCTCAATCTTAGTGCCGCTACTTGGCATGTTTCCCATTTTTTTTTTTTTAATGTTACTCACCGCGTGAGGCCCAAGGAATCCGCCACATACGCGTGAGCCTGAGAGGAGTCTACAAACCCTGTAGGTGCGCGCCACCCAGGGCCCAGGCTTATCCTCTACTCACCTGTCCTGCAGCACCGTACTGGAGAATGCAGTCCACCGCCGTGTCTCGGGGTTGATCAGTCCCCGTACGGGCCACCAGTTGTCGGTGTCGCTCCCGGCCGGCAGGAACAGCACACAACAAGATCTGGCAGTGGCTGGGCTTTCTTTATTTTCCCTCTCCGTACAGTCTGCCCCGGGATCCTTCCCGGCCGAAGCCTCAACCGGTCCACTCCCCGCGGCTCCTTCCGTGCTTCTTCTCTACAGTCTGTCCCGAAGCCTCTACCGGTCCACTCTCCATGGCTCCTTCCGTGCTTCTTCTCTACAGTCTGTCCCGAAGCCTCTACCGGTCCGCTCCCCGCGGCTCCTTCCGTGCTTCTTCTCTCGTGGCGGGAGAGGCACTCACTTTTATAGGGTTACAGTGGCCAATCAGTTCAAAGCGCGTGATGCGGGCTGATTGGCTAACATCAGTTGTTGCTAGGCAGACTATCTTACAGGGCGGGTTGTTTACCAAGCAGGAAGCAGGAGATAAGCGCCATCTTAGCACACTCGATGGGAGGGGTAATCTAGCTCAGGCTTTGCTCTTTCCTACAGGCCTCACGTCCGCCAAGTAAGGCGACCGGGCTCGGCCGCGGCTCCCAACACATAAGAGAAGAGAATCTTTTTTATAGCCCCCGGGAGCCTTCAGACTCTGATCCTTCCCTACCACCCCATCCCTGCGGCACTTTCCACGTTAGCGCTGAGATGCACTTGTGATCATGTCACAGAGACAAAAATAAAAAGGAACGGCTGCATTCAACAGACAGGTTCAGACTTCTGACGATGTGATTTATGTGGTTCAGACTTTATCAGGATGCAAAACTGTAGATACCCATAAACGACTGTGCTTTTCATTTCAATACAGAACTCAACAAACTGCAGGAGGTGTTCAACACTTTATTCCAAAATAAGAATTGCGTATATTTTACCCAGCTGTATGTTCTGAACACCTTTAAGGCAAGCAACCAGGGCTAGGTGAGGTACATGTGTTATCAATTTAATGTATTTCCCGCTTACAATGATTTTATTGTGATGTGACTGCATCCTAAATCCACAATAAAATTCATTAAGGTGCTACTTATCTGAGTCAGGTGAAGAGCAAATGAGGCACACATGCAGTGGGTGCTCATCTTGAGACTTCCCTTCGACACCCTGGAGACTTAACCTTAGGTTTACAAAGCATTGGTACAGCTGGACTTTCAACAGAAATGGAGCTTTAAGTGAGCTGGAAAATACCCACTATGATCATTCTGTCAGAGACTTGTCATTTAATTATAATCCAAGTTCACCTCTGGCAGAAGAGAGATTAACTTCTCACATCCAGATTTCCTCTTCTGCACAGTTTATAAATAGTCCTGTACACAGATAATTAGCCGGTGTGGGTGAGGTTAATAGGAGAGATGGGGAGAAGGCGGGGAGACCTGGGCTCTGCTAGAGAAGCTCATGGAGGAGGGCACCTCTGACTGTGCATGGAGGATGACAAATGACCCCAACAGCACACAGCGTCCTGGGAAACTGAAACCCTCCATCATCTCTCAATTACTCACGCGGATAAAAGGCAAATGAACTTTTGTTTCTAATTATTCTGGAATGTCAGTTGTGGTGGAGAAAATTGGTTTAGCTTTAAAAGTCAATTACAAATAAATGTACCATGCAAATGTCAAGAAGGACGGGTCCTAAAATGTAGAATTTCCAAGAAGCTGTGGCTGGAGGGAGGGAGAGTTGGAAGCATTGTCATCTGTAGTCCAGAGCAGTGCAACTTGCAGCACCCAGAACTGTGCTCTGATCCCCATGAGGAATGGGCAAGGTGGGTCACATCCTCCCCAGTCCATCCCTCATCCCTACCTGGTTCCGTTCCCAGATGTCTAAGGTGCTCGAGGCACTCCTCTCCCCCTGGAAACCATCACCCACCTCTCTCTCGTTGGTGTCCTCAGGTTGTGCTGCTCTATGCCTCCACCTATGTCCTTGTGTCCCTCAGCATAGACAGATACCACGCCATCGTCTACCCCATGAAGTTTCTGCAAGGAGGTGAGTGGATGCTCTTCCTTCCTTTCTATTTAGTTTTTCCTGTCCATTTGTGTTTTTCTGAGCCCGTGGTTTCAGTCTATAATGACGACTTTCCTCCAGGAGAACTGGTGCATGTACCTAACACATCTCAAAACTTTTTGCACCCCCATTCTCCTCGTCTCCCTTCCTTGTTCCCTCCCCTGGTCTCCTTCCCACTTGCAAAAGGTCTGTGTAAAGAAGTGCCTCTTGAGTGAGGGTACGGTTGTTTTCATTACTGTCTTATTCTTAACAATGACCCTCCCTTCTTTTCCTCCTTTCCCTTTGCTCTCCACTTCCACCCTTTATAGTTTCAAGGTCATGATTGTTCCAAAAAGGTGTTAGTAAGGAAGCTTAGAAGCCTGGGACACCTATGGATCCAGGGGTGGCCCAGCTGCTAGGGAAGGTGCTGGCAGGATGTGCTGTGACAGACACCCTGCTTACACTCTGTCTTTGGACCCCCCTGAGAAGCATTCCACACAAGGAAGGGGACTTACACTGCAACTTGTGAGGTTTCCAGGAACAAATCCTCTTACTGTTGATACAAAGCCCTGAAAGCACTGTAGAGAAATTTTTTCATTGATTATCATCCCAAACTCAAAAGAAAACCTTCCCATCCAGAAATGGAGTGGGTGACTGAGATAGCACAGCCCAATGTTCCCAGAATATGCTGGGAGTGGGGACCCAAGGCACTCAGGACCTGTGGCTGCCCAGAATAGAAGTGGCCACTCGCGTGAAAGTCCCTGAGCTCAGGGAGGGCCCACTACCATGCCTTGCTGCTCCTTCCCCCAGCCCACCAAGCCTGGGGTCAGATGGGGTCTACGCCAGGTAGGGCACTCAGTGGGCTGCTGAGTTTGCAGGAGAGCAGAGGCTCGGAGGAGCAATGGGCAGGTTGGCCACCTGCTGTTGCTGTTCCCCTAGGCAGAGCCCACCCACCACTACTTGGCCCCTTGGCCAATTTCTCACAGAGAAGAATGGGGACTGATACCATGGGGAGGGAGCTTATTAGGAAAGCTTAGCTCTACTGATAAAAAGCCAAATACTATTTTAAAAAGTAAGCAAGGCAAACTATAGAAATAGATGATGATGAATGTGCTTAACATTCTAACTGGGTATGGTGATGCATACTGTAATCCCAGCACTCTGGGAGGTGAGCCAGGAAGATTCCAAGTTCAAACCCAGTCCAAGCAATTTAGCAACACAGCCAGACCCAGGCTCAAACTGAAAACAAAGGCTGGGGTGTAGGTCATTGTGAAGACCGTAAGTTTAGTTACCAGTACCTAAAAACATTAAATTAAAATTTAAAAAATAAAAAAAAAAGCAGCATTGCAAGGATTTACATCTAAGGAAAGCAAAGTTAATGGAGCAAGCAGAGGTTTAGAATAAACCTAAAGACTGTCATCAGAGGGCCACAGGATGGCAGTGAAATGTGGTAATTTCAATTACCATTGATAAGGGTATAAATGGACACAGATACATCAAACAGCAGATTCGCTTTTTTTGTTTTGTTTTGTTTTTTGCTTTTTTACTAAAGTGGCAAGTTCCGGGGCCAGCAAGTCCAGAGAAGCTGACAAATGTTTTGCTCTTTAGGAAAAAGAAACATAAGAATAATTAGGGAACTATCAATAGCAGTGAAGAGAAATATGCCATGTCAGATACTAGAGTGTAACAGTAAATTTTGCTCTTTAGAACATTATAGTACCAGAACCAGAGCAGCATAAGCATATAAAATTTCAAATCAGTTGGAAAAGAGTTAGACCCTATGGAAGAGCTCTCTGAGCATTTAAAAAAAATATTAAATTACCACATGTCACAGTTGAGGTTCCAGGTGGATTGAGAAAGTTAACTATTTTAAACATAAAACTACTAAAAGAATAAAAATAAAATTTTTATAATATTAGTAAGCAAAAAGTTTTCCCAGAAATTATACCAAAATTAGAAACAATAAGCAAAATACACAGATTTTTATAACAAAATAATTATAAACTATTTAACACAGAGTGAAGATGACAATCAAAATGGAAAATATTTGTACTTAGCAGGCCAAGAGCTAATAACCTTCACATAAAGAATTTTGGCAAGGAACTGAGAATATACCAATTAAAAAAAGAGATTAAAAAGCAAAGAAGCAAAAGCACATCGCCAATAGAACAGATCATGTGACTACTTATTAAAGAACTGCAAGATGAAGGATTTGGGCAGGAAATTTTACCAACAAGATAATTAGAAGAGTCCTCTTAGTTTGGGGGGAATGTAGGGAAGGAGTAACCCCCATGACCTTCTGGTAAGAGTGGCCCCTCCTGGACAGACCTGGATGCATGTTCTGTCGTCACCCCTCGACCCATGGGGACCCTGAGGCAGTGAGCAGTGCAGCAGCGCCCATGGCCTCCTGCAGAGATGCTGGATGTGCACTTGGGTGTGTCCTGTCTCCCACATCTTTCTCTTCTCTCCAGCAGAAAGGCAAGCCAAGGTCCTCATTGGGGTGGCCTGGAGCCTCTCTTTCCTGTTCTCCATCCCCACCCTGATCATATTTGGGAAGAGGACATTGTCCAATGGTGAAGTGCAGTGCTGGGCTCTGTGGCCTGATGACTCTTACTGGACTCCGTACATGACCGTGGTGGCCGTCCTGGTATACTTCATCCCGCTGACCATCCTCAGGTAGGAGGCAGGGACCGGGCCACAGGGAGCTCCTGTGTCAGGCTGCAGGTTCCTCCCCTCCAGAGATCATGGTACTCCTGCTGTGCTTGAGGGAGCTGAGCAGATTATCACACTTTCCCTGAAGCTACACCAGCACAGCCCAGTCCTCCAAGAGAGGGTCAAGCTGAGGGAGTCGACATTTACTGCCAAAGAACCACAGGATGGGCTAAACAGGTGCCTATCTGCACCCTACAGGCCTGTGAAGACTGTGGTCTTCATTGTACAGGCATAAAAACCAGACTCAGAGAAATGAAGTAATTTTCCCCAACATCGCAAGGGACTGAAACTCAGGGTTAACATGGTATGAATTTCGCTTTCTTCTATCCTACAACTTCCAAATGCAAGATAGTTCTGCTTTGGGGATGTTATAGATGAAAGGATAAATGGGCCAAAAACAAGCTGAATGAAAGGCTCTGGGTGTACTGGATGTACTAATCTGCTAACAGATGCACACAATGGGGTCGGGCAAGTGGGGAACCAAAGAAGAACACTTTAGAAGCTGCCCTGAGAAAGGAAAGGACCCAGGGAGGATCAGATTGAGGGAAAAGAAGCAGGGTCTGTGGGCTAGAGGCCAGGTGGGGTGGCAGAGAGAGGACAGATAATGGTGGCAGTAGTAATGACCGCCAAGCCACAGGGTGTCCCCTGGTGCCGCACTGATAGGTCCCAACAAAGAGGACCCCCAAAACTGATTGTGACTAGTTCTGCCTTGGTCCCATGCCAATGTGAAATGGTTGCTTCCATGTGTGGGTGAGGTAAGGGACCACAGGAGGAGATTTCCATGTCACACGTGCATGGGCTGCATGGAACCTGTGCCTTTGGTGTCCTCGCACCTGCCATGGTGTGGCACACAACGTGCAGGGAGGAGATCAGTCTTTGGGCTTAGATGTTGTGAACAGCGCCCTGGTAAAAACCCTCTTGATGAAAGGCATTCGTGACTGTCTGATTGTTTCCTCTGAAGACATTTGTGGAACTTCAACATCAAAGACAATGTTCCTTCTAAGACGTTTGATGAAAGTTCACAAACTACCCCATAGAAAAGGTATTGTCTATGAGGTTAAGAAAATGTATCTCACTGTTTTAGTTTTGGTTTTGTTATGGTACTGGGGGACTGAATTTAAGGCTTTCACAGAGCTACACCATTATTTTTCAGTTTTTATTTTGAGATAGGGTCTCACTAATTGACTAACTTTCCCAGGCTGGACTTGAACTTGCAGTCCTCCTACCTCAACTTCCCAGAGTGCAGGGGCTACAGACGTGAGACACCATGCCCAGCTTCTGATTGTTTTAATAGTCATTTCTTCAATTATTAAACTGGGTGAATATTTTTCAAGTGTCCCCTGACACTATAGGAATCTCCTCCTCTTTTGGTCATCTTCAGTCTCCTAAAGTACTGGAAGTGGGGGAGCACCCTACAGGACACTGTTCAAAGCCTGGCCCACTTGGCCTAGGGCTCAGAGAAGCTGAATGGCTGGTTCCTTTGTGGGTCACACCAGGTAACCCCGACAGCTGAGCCTCCAGCTCTTCTCTGAGCAAGTGCTCCCCATTCTTTATGAGTCAGAAAATTAACATGCATGTTTTATTTCAACTGCCTTCTTCCACCAAACCATAGCTGTCAGGATGCTTGAACAGGTGCCAGGGTGCTTGAATTAGAGGTAAAGGTGCTGCAGGGGGGAGGTAAAGAGTAGCGAATCAGAGGTGAGTCACAGCAATGTAAGAAGGCCCTTGGAGGAGGAGAGGAACCAGCCATTTGTTTGCTGATTAATGGAAATGATGCTAAAAGCAGATTACCTGGGTTCTCAAATGCCTACCTAACACAGGCCTCCCCAGGCTTCTCTCCACCCTGGGAAACCTGAGAATTCGGCTTGACCTCCCTGGACGTTGAGCTTCCCTGAGGCACATCAGGGAAGCCAGAGCAGAGCTGGTTTCTCTCTAGGCAGGCGGCTCCACCTGGGAACAGGGGCATCTGGCTAGGGGTCTCCCCTCTAACAAGAGCCTAGAATAGTTCTGGAATTACATGTCTCTCCGCTCTAACACTCAGGACTTCTTTTACCAGGCAGGCCGAGAAGGAGGAAGGCAATGCAGGAAGAGCTGTGTGCTGTCTGTGTGTGAATGCAGATGTCACTGTTCCATCAATGACTCAACTGGGCTCCTGGGACCAAGCTGCAGAGACTGACAGCTTAGGCAATCATTGCTTTTCTGGGTCACAGCAGCTGCAGGGCTCCGAAATCCATGGGGGCTGACTGCTTGTTGCAGAGGAGGGTGCTGTCCCTGGTGTCATTGATTCCCTTGAGCTGTGTTTGTTTTATGGCTGTCTCATTGGTTTCTCGTCCTCCTATTATGAGATAAAGGTCAAGGTGGGGAAAATTCACACCCACTAGGTGCAATGAGCAAGCAGGAATAAGTTAGGACACAGACATTAGTCACGGAGCACTGGCTAGTGACTGTGAGGAAAAGCCATTGAGCTGTTTGAGAAGTGGAAATCAGAGCATGAGAAAGCCCCCTGTTGGGCTGGTCTCTGTGGAGGACAAAGACTCCGTAGATAACAGACTCTCGGGACATGGCCAGCAGTCCAGGGAAAGGAGAATAACAAGGGCCTCAGTCTATCAGTCCATCTGGAAAGGAGGTGACATCTTACCTGCTGTGGCCCAAGAGGAGGAGAGAGGAAGGTCTGTCCTGGTCGACAGTGGGGCTGATTTGCAGCATACATTCCACTGGCCACCCCCCACCACCTTGGTGTGGGAACTGCTCAGCAACAGCCACAGGGTCCAGTCCTGGCCAATGTGATGCAAGGTGGTATCTCCTGAACTCTGGAAAGGCTTCCCCAGTCTTAATAAAGGAGTTAGGGAGCCTTTACGGCGCACAGCACCATGTTAGCAGACGGAGTTAATGAGACTAGGCCCTAAAGCACTGTACAAGGGACCAGCACACAGCAGGGCTGGCCGTGATGGCTCGTCCCTGACTTCCCCCTCTGAGTGCTTGGCTGAGAGGTGACACACACTTGGGTTCCAGCTCAGCAGTCCTGATCCAGATGGCATGGGATTCTTCTGAGCTTCTTCTCTCTGCCTTGGCATCAGTCACTCTACCACATAAAGAGCTGGAGAAAAACCAAGGATGGGGGGATGGACACACATTCCACACTTGCAAATGCCTTTCCCCAGGTCCCAATGCCACCTGGCAGCCAGGGCCACCACAAGAGAACAGTTGAGCACATGCACAGGACCCTGGATGGAAAGGTAGATCTCTGGATGGGAAGATAGATCTCTTCCTCCCTTCTGCCCACCCCTGTCCTCAGAGGCTGTGCTGTAAGCTCTGGTCTTGAACACTCTTCCAAGACTGTCCAACTCAGATAAAAGTGTATTCTTGTGCATTTATCTTTATCACAGATTAAAACACATTACTACACACTGTCTGAAATTTGATCTCAGCTGAAACCTCCCCTTCTCTGAGATGGCTTCCTAGACCCCCAGAACAAATCATCCTCCTATCATACTCTTGTACCACTTACATTTTATCTTCTCAGGACTTCATCTCTTTGCAATAGTTTTTGTGTCTTCATTTTATCATTGTAGCCCCAAATAAACTTTTCTGCTTGCCTATTGCAGTGTTCATGGTGGGGCAGCCAGTGTTGGAACAAAGTAGGTGGTGTCAACCTACACAGTCTGAAGTGAAAAGCGAGATGGGTCTGACCAGGAAGGATCCTCAATGTTTTCTGAAGTGTCTGGCCAATCCCCTGCTGCACAGTGTGCAAGGTCCGGTGAGCTCTCCAGTGTGCAGCTAGTATCATTGCCCAGCCCAAGGCGGGTCAGGGCAGCCATGGGCAGAGATGGGGCCACAGACCCCTCTGGCTCTGAAGTCTTCTTGTGCCAAGGCTGAGATGCGTAACCCTCAAGCTCCAACCCTGTGCTGACCCTTGGGGACCCTGTGGGAACACTTGAGGTCTGAGCACAGCACCCTGCATTGCTTCCTGGATTGGTCCAGAACAAAAGACTCAGGAGCCGGCCTCAGTATCCTCCTGAGACAGTCCTGGGAGCCTGGCTCTGGTGATAGGCCCTCCTCCTGTCCCACCACCGTATACTGCCTCTATGAATGATGGGAAGGAACATACATATGTTTAGATGGTCTTCTAAGAATTGGTGACTGAAGCAGTAAGTTAAGGAAGGGCTACTTTCTTCAATGGAAAGATCCTTCAAGTTCTAGATGTCTAAAAAGCTTCCAGAAAACCTAAGCCTGATGAGAGAGTGAAGAGAGATCAAAGACACAGTATAAATCATATCCAAGTCAGTGAAGATGCTTTTCTATTCTGGGACAGAACTACTATATTTCCAGCAGTAGGTTACTTGGCCTTTTATATCTGTCCACCACGCGGGTACATGATGACATATTTCCCAGGCATGAAGAACCCAAGGATGGGGAGCAGAGCAGCATGGAAAGGTTTCACAGCAACATGATCTTTGAAGAATGAACTGAAAAAGAATGGAAATGGGTTCTGGAGAAGGGTGAAGCAGATGAAGAGGGGTGGGGAGCCCTGGGACTCACTTTTACTGACCATCCATGGAACAGGGAGCTTGGCTTCAGGCCCAGCTCAGGTTGCCTGCTCTGTGGACAGCTTGGCAAGGAGAAAGCTGTGTCCAGACACAGGGGATCACAGGAGTAAAGAGGAGAATGGTACATATGAGGAAGCAGAGGAAGACTGGGGAGGCCTGATTGCTGTGCGTCTCCTAGGACTGTGGGCTGTGGGGTGAAGTGGGAGGTTGAGCAGGAGAACAGCAGCCCCAGCTCTGAGGGTGGCCCTGGCATTGTAGATGGGGACATAGATGTGCAAGGGGATCATGGCAATAGTCAGGCAGGAGGCGGAAAGTGTATAAGGGGCACGCATTTTGACAGCACCTAAGTTAAAACTGGATGACGCAGAGGCTAGCATGGCCCTGTACCAGGGAAACCCACAACAGTATGGAGCACTGCATGTTCTTGCATTAAGGGGGACAGTTTCATTCAGGGAAGATGAAAAGCTGTGGAGATGGATGGTGGTGAAGGTCACACAATATTGCAGAGACACCAAATGCTACAGAACTGTGCAACTAAAATGGTGAAAATGCTAAGTACTACATAGCATACTTAGCAATAAAAGAAGTGATCCAAAGAAGGAAGAGAGGTTGTTTGCACTCACACTGAAGAGGAGAGATGGGAGGAAGGTCCAGCTCATGGAGTCAATTTCAAGGGACCATCTGCAATGCTTGCTGTGCAGGGAAGAATGAGGAAGCAGCAGACAAGGATGACACCAGGGCCCTGTGGTGCAGGGCAGCCACGTCCTGGGAAGTAGGTTGGTTTGGGCAATAATTCATGAGGACCCAGGAGCAACCCTTTGCCAAGGAGCAGGGCCATGTCCTGGCTCTCCACTCGCCATCTGAATAGTCCTAGGCAGAAAAAAATTTCTAATTCATAGGATTCTCCTTAGCTCTTCCACGGTATGTATGGTTGATAATCAATTAATATCTGAGCTATTGATCAGTGAAGTATGATTAATGTTTCCTGGAAGAGGGAAACTTAGCCTTGTATTTCATTTATCCAGGAAAGGAGTTTAAGTGATCTAAGAGATATTTGATTGAGCGAGAAGAAGAAACTCACTAATAACATTTTTTCTCATTTTTTTCCTTAATGGAGGTATATAAATTACAGAAAAGTTCCAGGAAGGTGTACAAGAAGGAACAGAGTGTTTCAAAAGAGGCCCGAAGCTTCCCCAGGGCACTGAGAGGAGACTGCTGAGAAGGAACGGGAAATGCAGGAGGGAGTGGAGGGTTTTAACACAGTCATTAATTAAATTATAGTCTAACGATCATTAAAAGCAATTAATGCGTTGCCAGTTACTGCAAACTGGAGCTCTGTTTCTTTTTTCTTTCAACTAGTAATTCTCAAGAGAAAAAAAAAAAATTACACAGTTCTGAAATAAAGCAGCGCTTTGTTCCAAAGTTTCTTAGTTTAGGTAATTAAATTTGAAACGTCAAATAACATTTGGAAAGGTCTAAGTTTTATATTTAACAAAGGGGAAGCGGAATCCGCAATGTGCTGATGTGTGCAAATCATTAACACCCTGTTAAGCACAGATTATATCATCCAAGTGTCGGTGTGATGGGATGTGAAAAACAGGCAAAAAGGGCACAAAAAAGGGAGTTACACTTTTAGGTCTCCACAGATTTGCAAGTACTATGCCTAACACTCTAAATTGTAGCACATTGGACACAAAGAATTCAAGAGGTTGGTGTTATTCGTCCCCTTTTATAGAATCTCAGCTAAGGCTCGGTGCATCCATTAGCTATTACTGTGTAACAAATGATCACAAACTCAGTGACCTAAACAATGATACTCATGCTATCTGCAGTGTCGGTGGGTTGGGGTTCTGGACAGGGCCTAACTGAGTCCCCACTTAAGTACAGTGGCCATCCAAGTGTCTTTAGGGCTGGGCTGAGGGTCATCAGCTGAAAGAAGGATCTTTCCAAATCTTTGTGATCCTTAGCAGATTTCATTTCTTGGAGGTCACAGCCCTTAGGGCAACTGGCTCCTTCCTGACAAGGCAGGTATTGCAACCTACATAATCCCATGTACCTCTCTGGTTTCATCGGAAGCAAGCCCTGGGCCCTGTCCAGACTTGAAGGAGAAGATTACCTGTAGGCATGGATTCAGGAGGCCGAGACACAGGGGCCCCCCAGAAAGAGTGCCCAGTGTCAAGGTCCTACTGCAAGTGCACAGCCGAGGACACTAACTCTGAGGGCTGCTTGGATTCCAATTATGCTTTCCCTCTTCTCACCTGGGCTACTCGCCTTGCCCAGGTCCTGCCTCCTCACTGCAGAAACAGGGGCTCCCTCTGACTGATCTCTGTGGTCTTCCCCATTCCAGCCAAGATGGGGACAGCATGACCAAGACGCCGTGCTTCCCTTCTTCCCCTCAGAGAGATGAAATGGTCTGTCTCCTATGTCCTTCATGTAGGGGTCCACTGGCCATGTCACACCTTTCCTCTCTCTGCAGCATCATCTACAGCATTGTGATCAGAACCATCTGGATGAAAAGCAAAGCTCCTGAGACAGTGATCTCCAACTACTCAGGTAAGTCCAGGGCACTGGCCTGGCTACTTGCTGGTGTTTGCTCCTGGCCGGTTTTTCTCTGGCAACCATGAGCTGAGGCTTCCTGGATTACCAGCCTATGGGTTGATCACCTGACCCCTCAAGCTGTTCCAGTAGACTCTGTCCTGGCTTCTTGCCCCCCTGAGAATCAAGAGAAGGCAGGAGGCCTCTGGAGCTGGCCAAGCTGTTTCATCAGAGTCCTCCAAAGCAGCCTATGAACCAAGATGGTGTCTCCCCAGTCTCAGATCAGCCAGACATACCTACAGGATAGAGATAGATGTACCATTGCCCAAGGACAGCATGGCAGCCCACAGACCCAAGGGCTTGCATTTACGATGAGCAACCCTGCTGCCTGTCCAAAGAACAATCCTGGGCCATGAGGAGTTAAGCAGCCTTCTGCTGTCCCTGTGCACCAGTCCCTAAGGTCCCCTTCTATACCTGTCACCATTCCACATCCAAGATCATGAGCGTGGGCACCTCCTATGCAGCTCTGAGACCTAGAGTTTGCTGTGCCTCTTAGGCAAGGCTCCAGGGCCTAACTCCTGTCACTGGAGAAATGTAGCAGTCTCCACCCAGAAAAGGGAGAGAGGGCCGGGGGCTTGGTAGTCATTACAGTGGGGTAATTCTACAGCGTGAGACAGGCTCTACCAGGCTCTTCCTTTCCTCAAGCTCACACAACAGGATGTGCACACACCAAACATACACAAGTACACAAGCCTTCATATACCCAGGCACACATACATGGATACACTCTGTACACCCACTTGCCATCAACAAAGGCAGCAAGCTACAACCCAAACATTCAGAGTAAAAAGAGCTCATTTATGTCCTACATGGGCCATTATGAGCTGTGCCATATTGCAAAGTTACACAGGCAGTCTGGCTCCAACAGGTTGAAGTGGGGGCCTGGACAAGACACCCCGGAAGGCCGTGTGTAATGAGACTTGCAGCTAACAGCAGGTGTGTGACCAAGATGGAGTTTATTTTATCCGCTGCATAGGTAATTTTTCCATACCACGGGAGACAGCTGCCAGTGCTCATAAGGAATAGCGGGCATGAGAATCCCTGTGTGGATGGGTGGAGACCGGCGCACTGTGACTCTCACTCTGGCTTCTGTTCAGCTGTGCTCTCCCGCTCTTCAGGAGAGGTGCTGAAGACTGGGGTGACAAAGCATCTGACAGTGCAGCACAGAGACAGACAGCTGCAGCTGACGTCACGTCGGGAGACACCCTGCACACACCCCAGTTCCCTGCCTTAGTCCCCATGAGGCCCACGAGGAGGGGCCTGACTGCTTTATGTAAATAAAGAGCAGGCTTACAGGTTAAGCAATCTCATTTCTATGTGTAGCATAAGACATGACCAGGATTCAAATGCATATAGGATTGATAGAAAAGCCATGATTTCTTCTCTAAATCAGGCTGCCTTCCAGAGAGAAGAGCATTATAGAGAGGCGCCAGTGAGTAAAAGAAGAACTTAAATTAAAAAAGAAAGAAAGTAAAAAGAAGAAAAAAACAAACTGACTTTTTACCTTTTTAGTCTTTTACCTTTTACCTTTTTAGTCTGAGGATTGAACCCAAGTCCTTTTATTAAGCTGCATCTCCAGCTCTATTTTGAGACAGTCTCTGTAAGTCACTAAACTACCCAGTATGGGCTCAAACTTGCAATCCTCTTGCCTCAGCCTCCCAGAGTGCTGGGAGGTGCCTTAAGACCACCATGCTTGGCCTTACTTTTTATTAAAAATCCAAACTCAAGGTCATTGTTGTACACACACACACACATACTCACACACAACACTCCTCTAAACCTTGGCTTCCCCAGTCTCACCTGCTGATGTTTTATTTGGATCTATGTAAAACTGGAAAAGTGGGTCACCCCAGTAGGTACCTGGCCCAATTTTGTGAACATAGCTGAGGTCCTTCTATACTCTCAGACTTAGTTCAGCTTAACCCTGTCCTGATTGCTATCAATTACCCAGGCCCAGCCTGTGCTTCACTGCCTGTGGCCCTGGGATCTGACCCTCACCCTCCCCTGCACACCTCTCTGAGCCCAAGGAGCCATGCAGGACACCTCATTTCCCAAGATCACCACACTCGCCCAAGAGCAAGCAGGGCAGATGCTGTTGGAGGTGTGGGTGAGAGGTTGCCACATTCTGCCAGCCCGTCCCCACCCCATTCTCTGAAGTCCTCCCCAGTGTGGCCAAGCTCTCATGGCTTCTTCCTACAACACCTCCCCTTTCTCCCATTTTCCTGGCTTCCAGCACAGACATGGCACAAGGCACTGAGAGATTTGCTTCGGCTGATCTGGAGTGTGACGACCATTTCTCCAGAGGTGGAAATGTCACAGCTGGTCTTACTGTTTAATGCAACTCTGTGTATCTATCAGAACTAAGTCTAGCAGCTCTTCCAGGAGTGCCAGAGTCCTCCTTCTGGAACGACACCAGCTGCTATTCTCAAAAGATCACGTCATGCCCGAGTTGCCTTCTCAAATGGAACCCACACGACTCCCTATCTGTCACAGCAGCCAAGTGGCTCTGGAGTTGGCTGGCAGATATCTTAGGAGCTCCAGCCACACAGGCACACCAGGATCATTGCTCATCAGTGAGGGGACATTAGCAATGATTAGTGTGAACAGAAGCTTGCTTTGTAAACACTGCCTGCAACATTCACACCCTCCTACTGTGAGAACCAGTCATCTTGGTGAAAAATTTATTTTCTCCCACTCCTAGGCTAACTAAAAGAAAAAAGACTGATTCATGAATGATCTAGGCACTTTCCCAGAGTGGGCATATGGGATGATAGACAGACTAAAATCTTGCACATTGTATTTCATAAAGGAATATACTCCTGCTGCCCAGGGTATCTGTTTTTGTTAGCTGGAACCCTTCTGCATGGGCAGGAGCTAGGGAGGTACATTACATGGCACACAAAGCATTACTATGTGCATAGGATTCGTTCCAGCCATCGTGGATTGGCAGATGTGATGTGAGCTATGAGATACCCAAATTGCATGTTTCAAATTAGGTAAGACACAGTGGGATGGAGATAAAGCTGTGGATTAGAAACTGGGTTAGAATCATTTCACTTTCTAGCTTAACAAATTTAAGAGGATGCCATTACTTGCTCTCAGGATCAGCTTCCTCATCAGTAACTGATAAAATGGTTTCTCTGCAAACAACCATAATGAACAAAATGCACACAAGAAAAATATAAAGCCAGGCATGGTGGTGCATGCCTATAATCACAGCATTCTGGAGGCCTGAGGCAGGATGATTGCAAACTCAAAGCCATCCTGGGTAACTTAGCACCTTAGCAAGACCCTGTCTCAAAATAAAAAGCAAGGAAAGGGCTGGGGTTGTAGCTGAATCCTAAGACCCTTACTCTGATTCCCAGCATTGAGAAAATGAAAAATATAAAGGTACAAATAACTAATGATTATAACTATCTGTTGATAGATCCAGTATCATAAAGATATTGACTCTATTCAGCTAATCCACAAGCTAACACAATTCTAATAAAAAGTGAATTGTTACATGTTGCTGAGCTTAACAAGATGCTTTATTTAAAATATAACAAAAAAGATGTAAAAGCCAAGAGCATCCCAGGCATTCCTGCATAAGGAGAGCAGTATAGGAGAGGCTGGCTATGCCAAATGTTAATACTTGGTATAGAGTCAGTGGTTAATAGAGCATAGTGCTGGCACAACACAATAGACAAATAGAAATACTATAAAACAGCCCCCCACACACCTATACAGTGTGTCCCCAACTTGCAAACCAGCTCTGTCCTGGGAGGATGTTTGTAAGTTGGATTCATTCATGATCCAACAAAGCAAGTCTTACACAGTGCACCTGTGAATCTTATACACTACACCTATAAAAGTTCACAGCTCAAGTGTTTGTAAGTCAGGGACTGCTGCATTTATGTCATAATATCACAAGGAAAGAAATGAAATTTAATCTTCACCTCAGTTCATAGACAAAACGGGCTCTAAGGGAACTAGAAGCTTAAATGTGAAAAATAAGATTTTGAAGGCTTTAAAACAAAAAGTAAGATGATACCTTCATGAAAGATACCTGCTACATTAAATTACAAAGACAGCATAAATTTGACTCTGTTAAATTTAACTCTGTTAACACGTGAAACATCACACCTACAAGCTAGGAGAAGTCATTAGCAATATGTACACCTGAGAAAAGACTAGCATACTAAATATATAAAGAACTCCTCAAAGTCAACATTAAAAGACACTCTTTAAAAGACTAATCCATTTTTTAAAATCAGTAAAACACCAGTGAGCATTTTACAGAAAAGTAAGCAGGAACAGCCAAAATTAAGATTTACAACTTACTGGCAAGCAACGATGTATAGCTTTAATATAAATTCCCTTCCACAGAATTGGTACAATTGTAAAAATTTATTAACTCAAAGATCTGGCAAAGATGGAGATCACATGGTTTATACTTTAACTTGACATCTCAAGAACTTAGTAAACTTATCATCTATTTGCTTCTAGTCAATCTTAGAGCAACTATAGACAAAAGTCTTTCTTAATGCAATTCAGGTTTTAAATTTTTTTTAGAATTTTGGGTCTACTTTCTTCTTGCTTTTCACACCCAATCCTGTCTCTCAACTCTGTGGACACTAGCTTGAGTCTATCTGAAAAAAAAAATCACCATTCTTAGTCTGATCTCTATTTCAAGGACAAATCTTAAAGGCTGTTTTCCCATTAAAAATCTCTGCACGTACAGTTCAATGAGGACAGGGCCATTTTCATAGGCTGGGGTCTGCACTCCTGAAAAAGGCTCCTGTGTGTTTTAATGCTCTGGTTACGTTTTCACTTTTTACCTGGTCACACATAGTACGTAGTTGGTTCTGTTGGAGACCAGAAGCAGTCGATATTTGAAACGCTACAAGATCCCAAATTTGAGGGCTTTCTCTAAGTCCTTTTTATTTCTGCCATAAGCCAGCAAAGCCTTGTCTAAG